AGAGGCAGGAATGCAGTATTGCCTGGCCAGGACAAGGACAGCACTAAAATTGCAGATCATGTCTGGGGCAAAAATCTGTGAATCAACATGTGCATGATTTTTTTCTAGAACCCCTCAACACTGTGAATTGAGATGCATATAAAAAGCAGAAACAGCTGGGTATGCTGATGCATGTCTACAACCCCAGGACTCAGGAGGGCATAGCAGAAGGGTCACGAACCTGAGGCCAGCCTGTGCTACACACGAGGAAAAGGAGGTGAGGAAGGAGACCTAGGAAAAGGCAAAGCAAGGAACAGCAGTCTCCCCTTGAATGTGGTTTTCAGATATCTGTGGTCAACAGCGGCCTTGGAGACATGAAGACCGATAGGAAGGTCAGTTTTAAACCGTTATATGAGCAGTGTGATGAAACCGGGGCTGTCTCGCTCCACCAGTCACCCGTGTCCAGTGCATTCATCTTGTAGGCATTATTGGCCTGTTAGTAGCTGTTGTGGCTACTGGGTGAACTTTTAGGGCAGTGCTTGTGCCTGGTAACCTTTACACTGCGGCCTCATTTCATCTCATCTCACATTATACAGGTGGACTCAACGTAAGAGTAAGATAATGAGAGGCCACCGTCACATAACTGGTATTGGAGTATAACTGTTTCACCTTACTCCTGCTGCTAATCTTTCATCATACTTGGTTTATTAAATCATCGCAGATATTACGTACAGCGTAGTAAGGTATGTGGCTGCAGGCATCCTTGGGGTCCTAAATACTGTCCCTGTGGACAAGGTGCACTGAGTGTCTTTTAGCCAAGTAAAGTTTATAGGAAGAAAAGAGAAGCAATGAGAGTTAATATGAGGGAGGAAAGGAAGAGGCAAAGTTACGTGAGGACTAGCTGGAGAGTTGGCACAACAGTAGATGGGAAGTGTGGGAGGAGCAAACACTGTGTAGGCTGGGTCTGAACTCTGTTATTCTGGAATTCGTGATCTAGAGATAAATCAGGCCTAGGATTAAAAAAAAAAGTCTAGAATATGGTCACTAAAGTGAGTTACTGAACCAGGAGGCTATGAAGGCCGTTGAACAAAAGTGTTAAAAAAGGTACTGCATTAAAACTTGATGATAGGCCTGGGGAGGTCGCTCAGGTAGGTCTTACTGGTTGCCAAGCCTGACACTTGACTTTAATCTTTGGGGTGTCTGTGCTAGAAGGAGAAAATAAAATGGGATTTGGTGGGGCCACCAAGATGACGTGGCAGTTAAGGGCGACAACTTTGATTCCCTGAACACATATGATCAAAGGAGAGAACAGATTTCTTAAAGTTGTCCCCTGACCCCCATGTGTGTGCTGTGGGTATCTGGGCATGTATGTGTACACATCTACACTCTGTCTCTTCTGCTGACTCCATGACCCCCATTTTCAGTTTATAATATGAGGTCATCAATACCACAGTTAGAGAAAACTTTGTTTTCTTTTATACACAGCAAATGTAAATCTTCAAAGATAAATATGGTACCACATTCTAAACACAACAAAAATTAGATTATCCTTTTATGCAAGGCTTCCAAATAAAATTAAGATCTGGCTTCCAGCTGGCTTAGCATGTGACATTGGGCAGGAGAGGAGAGGAGGAAAACAGGAGTTACACCCACCAAAAATTGTACAGTGGAGATCATGCTTGCTGCCGTTTCCCAGCTGCCCAAGCTTCACATCCCATCTAGCACTGCTCTAGAAGTCGGCAGTGAGGCACATCCATGCAGAACATAACGTGCCACCCCGTGCCTACTGCATTAAATAGTAAAAATGGTCATTCTGCATATTTCCACCACTGTCCACTCATTAGAAAAAAGTTAAATTAATTCAGACCTATCTCAATAAGCTACCACAATCTCATGAGAGATCCAAGTCTATGCATGCAAAGTCATAGAATTTCAGTGGGTTTTTTTCAAGTGGCTATCAGCGGAGGCTTGATGTCTGTTCATATTATAAAGATGAGAAGTATTCTGTACTGTTAGAGGTAGGCATGGTTACCATATACACTGCATTCCCAAAAGGCATGTGAGTTTTTGACTATCAAATTCTACTTCTCCATCAGTTTACATAAAATTATTGTTTAAAAGACAGGGGGAAATGTCATGAAAGCAAGCTATGTTTAAAAATAAAATTTGGCTGGGTGTGGTGGTGTATATATTTAATCTCAGCACCAGGAGGCAGAGGCAGGCAGATTTCTGAGTTTGAGGTCAGCTTGGTCAAGAGAATGAGTTCCAGGACAACCAGGGCTACACAGAGAAACCGTGTGTGTGTGTGTGTGTGTGTGTGTGTGTGTGTGTGTGTGTGTGTGTGTGTGTATGTGTGTGTGAACAAACCACTAAACTGAAATACATAAATAAATAAAACTTATGGGATTGTATAGATGGCTTACTGGTTGGTAGTATTTGTTGTATTTCCAGCACCCACATAGCTCACAACTAACTCCAATTCCTAGGGATCTGACACCCTCTTTTGGTCTCCAAGAGCACCGGGTACACATGTAGTACACAGACATACATGAAGGCAAAACATCCAGAGACATAAAATATTTAAATTGAAAACTAAAACCAAATAGTAATAAAACATGTGGGTCAGTGGATAAAGGTACCTGCTGCCATCATCATCAGACCTGAATTTTATCACTAGAACCTGTATGGGAGATAGAAGGAGAGACCTAATCCCCATAAAGTTGTCCTCTCATCTCTACATATGTGCTGGAGTACAAAGACTCAACATCTGCAAGCCTATCAGGTACAAACAGCCAATGTATCCCTGACCACCATCTGCAAGATCACTCCTTTCAAAATGATTCTGTAAACCCCTTTAGTCTTCCATAGTATCCTTTCTAGGAAGCTTCCAAAGAATCCTTACAGCTTTTTTACTGTTCTATTTTTCCTACTTTAAATACAAAAATTTCTAATAGCATTTGCATTCTGTAGATAGATACCGACTGTAAAAAGAAAACATTATTTACAAGATTTGTATAAAAGTTCCTATAATCAAACGTTTCCCTCAGATTACTTCTTCCGAGAGAGAGAGAGAGAGAGAGAGAGAGAGAGAGAGAGAGAGAGAGAGAGAGAGAGCTTTTTTTTTTTTACTGCCATCTGTTTTCCAACCTGGATGAATTTCTAAGGAATAACCATAGCTACCTTCTTATAAGTCAAATATTGAGTGAGGCACGATACATATTAGTTAATTTAAGTTCTGATTCAGACTTGTAGAGTATTCCCATGTGCTTGTCTGTTTAGCTAGTAACACACCATGTTAGTTCTTGGTTTCACCATAAATCCCCCAATATTTCACCGCTATTCTTCCAGGTCTGCACAACAGCAGCGTCTCTGTATTTCAGTATACACACTGTACTTGTATAATTAGATTGACTGAGATTTAGCCACAATTATTTTAAAAGTCAAACAGCAAAAAACCCAGTCAGTCAGTTTCTCCTGTGCATAAATAATGTGTCTTCAAAACTTCCATCTTTAACATATGGTTAAAGAAAATGGACGACTTGCTCTGTTCTGTTTACCATTTTAACACTCACTCCTTTTGGGAGTGACTTTAAAAGCTTCTATTTAGGATTAAAACAATCCACTTAGTGTTAAAACTTTTAATCCCAGCACTTAGGAGGCAGAGGCAGGTGGTTTTTCTGAGTTCAAGGCCAGCCTGGTCTACAGAGTGAGTTCCAGGACTGCCAGGACTGCCACACAGAGAAACCCTGCCTCAAAAAGAACACAAGACAAACAAAAACCATTAACATAACAGTCAATTTCCCTGGAAAATGTGGCAAAAGAATACAAAGCAGACTACAAATACATAAAAACAGAGGTTGTGGTATTTCTAAGTGTTCAAATTTCTGGTTTATATTTCACTTTATTTAAAGCACTGCAAATAAGCCGTACAGATCCTCATATCCCTAAATCATGCCTCTCAAGTCGGGAGCTGTTACCACGAGAATGTGCAGATGGCCAGTCATAAAAAACTGTCTCGTATACTGTGCCTATAAAAGGACTGCATTTTATTTTCATTGCTTTACTATTCTTTTTAAGACAGGGAGGGACTTGGAATTCACTAAGCAGTCCACACTGGATTTGAACTCACAATTCTCCTGCGTTGGATTCTTGACAAGCATCTACCAACTATTTTAATATCATAGCATGAAAAAAGGCCATACATTCACACACATATTTACTATTGTGTGTGTTGCTGGTAAGCGAGCCCAGGACCACGCTTCTGACATATCAGAAGCCAGCGAGGACTAGATGGGGTATGGGGGTACAGGCCAAGCACAGAGCTCTTGCCTAACCCTGCACCATTTTACCACAGGGTCACACACCGAACCCTGCATTTTAAATACCGCCCAATCCGGTAACACTGTCAGACTTCTACAAACCCAATTATCTGACTGACTCTGCAACAACAGCTGTGTGCTTGTGCAAGTGACTTCTATTTCCCTTGTTAAGGGGAGACAAATTCGGTCTCAGATTTGGGTTGCCTAGTAGGCTTTTTGACAAAGTTAGTTCTACTTTCCCTTCATTCTGCCACCTCCTCAGTAGTGGCTACAACTGTATGTGACACTATCAGGAACATGTAGTACCATATGGAGACTCAGAAAAGTCTATTAGAAAAGAAGCAAACATAACATAGAAAGTTGTCTAATGATAACTTCACACACACACACACACCCCAAATGGGCTCAGTGGAAAAAATAAAAAAGTATTCACCTTTCATCACCGGCTGTCTCATTCCATTAGTTTCTTACTTTCACTCAAGTCTTTAGAGCTCTATTCTCGACAACAGAAAAAAATACTAGTAAAAATGAGTAATAAAATATCCTCACTAGGTTACACGCCAAGGGGAGAGGAGACAAAACGGTAATCATCAATATATTTAATGAGACTCGGAGGCTTACAGATAAAAAAAATGGAAGGGGGGAGGGAGTGGGCGGATGTACTGAAGAGGGTGGAAAAAACCCGTAGGATGTTACAGGTTCACCTTGCAAACTTCATTACCCACATTCAACAGCTGTTAAATAAGTCATCAAAACAGTCAGATCTGTGGGAAGAGAATTTACACACTCCTGACAGTCTCATCGCCTCTGCTTCAAGAAACGAAATCGCTCAACTCCTCAACACAGCTGTTGCGAACCCCGGTCGGGATCAGACCCGATCCTCCGGGAAGGGAGACCCAAGGCACAAAGTTAGGTGAGTGGCCGTCGGCAGGGCGAGGGGCCACCGGGTGCGGACACCCCGTCCCCGCCCTCCGTGCAGGCGGCGGCCGCCGCGGTGGGTCGGGGGGTCCCCACCAGTCACCCGGCCCTGCTGCCCTGGCCCCGGGTCCGCCCACCGCGCAGGGCCGGCGCCACGACCGCGCCCGCCGCCCCCGCCGGCCCCTCGCCGGCTGCCACGTAACCCTTCGCGGGAAGCAGGAACTGCGCGGCGCGGGAGGGGGCGGCGGGCCGGGCCGGGGCCGCAGGGCCGCGGGGGGCTGCGCAGCGCCGGCCGGCTCCTTTGGGGTCGCCTGCCTGGGCCGGGGATCAGTGGGGAGCCGGGGACCCGGACGGAGGAGGGCTCACCTCGAACATGAGCCCCAGCAGGAAGAGCATCGCCAGGCAGGAGACGATGTCCGCGTGATTCTGCAGCACGAATTCATGGCTCAGCAGCGGCGGGTTCTTGTTGCTCTTCTTGCGAATAGCCATGGTGGAGCCTCCGCCGCCTGTGCCTGCAGGTGCTCCCTCCGCCGGGTCCCGCGCTCTGGGCTGCTCACCGCCGCGCTGCCGCCGCCGCCGCCTCCCGCTGGCTGCTCCGCACAGCCCCGCCGCAGCCGCTCGCTGGGGCTTCACTTCCCATCCCACAGCCAGTACGCAGCCGCCGGGGCGGCCCGGAAAAAAAAAAAAAAGAGAGAGAGAGAGGAAAAAAAAAAAAAAGCCCGCAACCGAGGCGAGCATGCGCACCAGGGAGGGACCGCGCGCTCGCGCCCCGGCCGCGCCTGGCGGCCCACAGCGCCCCCTGTAGGCTGGAGGCCGCAGGACACGGCTGGCGCGCCGAGGCTTCGCGACCGGCCGGGGGTTGGGAGTCGTTTGGGGCGCGAGCTCCCTGGGAATGGTCCCTGTGGTGGTCGCGTGCCTCAGGGTGTGCGCGGTCGCCGGGTGCTTTCGCGCCTTCCTGGCCCATCCTGGTCTCGGTGCTACAGTGTTCTTCCACACTGATGGGCGGTTGTGTAAGCGACAGTCACCGTCCAGAAAATCTGGAAAACCAAGTAGCCTGCCTTTTTAAAGGGTCTTTCGATAGTTTGAGCATCCGACTTCAAACGTTGCAGCGGCCGAGCCAGGCATTGTGGCTGACTCCTGTAATCCCTTGTTTTGAGAGGCTGAGGCAGAAGTGCTGTTGAGTTTAATTCCAGCCAGGGCTACATAGCAACAGCTTGTTTCGAAGTGAATAAAAAGAAAAGAAAGGAAGAAAAAGACAGACAGACAGACAGACAGACTGACTGACAGATGGACTGATGGACTGGGTTTAAACTCTTGTTTGCCTCAGCTCTTTTGTGTTTTTTCCTCCAGACTCCCCCGCTCCACTGGGAGTTTAGATTTACTTGTTACGTGGTATTAACGCTGTTTAGGAAATTGAGAAGAAGATCCCTTGCCACCCCTCTTTCCTACTTGTGTTGAACCCGGAATCTTTATTTTTCCTTGCGATATCCAGAAGCCAAAAATCAATGTATGTTGCATCTTTTTATTATCCTTCGACATCTATTCCAGCCCCAAACCAAGGCAATTCAATCCCCATGACCACTCTCGTAAATCCCAGAAGGGGACCTGGCCTGGATGGAATATTACATCTCTGCGGTAATGATGGTGGTTTTGAAAGGTGCCTATTGAATCAATGCTCAATTTATTATCTGCATTTTCACAGACAACTTACTTCTGTGAGACCCAATTTCCTTATTTATGGATCTATTTAGTCAAAAAGTATGGACTGGGAGTCGACTCAGTACCAGGAAGTCAACTGAGGACTGGGAGCTCAAGGAAATTTTCAAATTAACCTATTCTTATGGGCTTTCATTCTCGTGCAGAGGGAGAATCTTTTAAAAGGAATTTGAAAGTGAACCGTGTTAAATGGAGCTGAAGCCTTGGGAGAAAAACACAGGGACTAGGACATGAGCAAGCTGCATTTTCCCAGGACGAGTAGAGGAAGCAAACCAGGTGAGTTTTATATGCTGGGAGGGTGGTGGTGCCCACACTAGCAATTAAAACGAGGTGCTCAGCAGAAAGACCACTAGACTTAGTTATTAGCTTCCTTTCTGGTTAAGTCACGAGTTTCACTTCCCTCCAGCCATCCCCACCTTTCAATGTTACCCCTCTAGAATGTTCTCTGGAAAAGCATTATTCTTCATTGCTTTCCCCTTTCCTCGTGGAAAGACAGCTGGACTAAACACCCCTTCATGACTGGTCCTGCCCACCCAAACAGGCTTGGTCCTGTCCTTCAGCCCCCTCCGGCCCCTGTCTCTTTTACCTGCATTACTGAACACTCATGCTAAGAAGCAATGCCACACTTCCTTTCTGCCCTTGTGTCAGCCTCTGTCTTAGGGACAATTGTTTGTCTTTTCTACTTAGCAGAGTTTGTGGTTCCTTCAAGTCTAGCTGACTAGTGACGTTTTTGAAACCTAACCAACCTTATCTTATGAATCCCATATATTTACAGAATTGTACAACTGTGTATATATGTATACATATACATACATGCATACACACACACACACACACACACATATATATATATATATATATATATATATATATATATATGAAACTTTGTGCAGATTGCCAATGTTCTGGTGTTGATGTAAATGCTCCCCAAAACTATGTGCTAAGATTTTCACCCAGGGTTGATGGGGCTATTAGGAGGCAATCCAGACTCTGGAAGGAGAGGCCCAGTTGGAGGAAGTGTGTTACTAGGAGCTTCCTATTTTGTTGCTTTTGTTTTGTATTTTAGACTGGGTCTCACTCTTTAACTCAAGTTGACCTCAGAGTCACTCAGTCTCCCTGCATCACCCTCCCGAATGCTGATTGTAGGCACGAACCACCATGCCTGACTGGGGGAAGAGTGTGGGGGCTGCCCTTCCTGAGTCCCTGGCTTCCTTTCCCTGTAAGTCTCGGTCTTTCCCTGTCCTTTGCTCTCCTGAGACAAGCAGCTTTGCTCCACCCCACCCCCTATGTCCCACGTCACCCTGAGACAGACATGATGGGACCAAGCAACCACGGACTGGAACCTCTGAAAATGGAATCGAGATTAAGTTGTCTAAGTCAGCTATTTGTCACAATGACAGGAAGCTGATTAGGACACCCATTTTTATGAGGTGGCATGCTGTATTCTGATTAAAAATCTGCCTTCCCATTAGGCAAGTGTTGCAAAGGAATGTGAAATCCTTCCATTGTATCTCTTAAGACTTGGCACTATATTGTCATGTGGATTTGCTTTTAGACAGCATCTCACTTACTCTGGGTGCCCAGACATCTGCCTGCTTCTGCCTCCTGAGTGCTGGGATAAAGGACATGCACACCACACACGGCCTTCAAGATTTAACTGAAACTTATTGAAACTCAATCATTTTTCATTAAAAACAGGCTTTACATGGACTCGAATGAAACTTGAAGACACTTTACCTAAGAGTCAAATATCAGAATGACTTGACATATAGTCTACTGACATACTAATCTTAGGCCACGTGAAGGGGCACTTTGTGATGCGTCAGTCAAGTCTTGAGTACCAGTCTGGGAATAACACAGACTTAGTCTTCCTTTTTAGAGTTCATCCCTGGAATGGAAGTTAGAATATAAGCCAGCATGCGGCTTTTCTTGTTATGTCACACAATGCTCGGCCAAGGCAATGTGAGGGGAAAGGGCTTGTTCTCGATCCTGGTTTAGAGGATGCAGTCCATCATTGTGAAGAAGTCATGGGTGGGAATGGGGGGGCCACTGCTCGCACTGCACCAGCGGTCAGGAAGCAGAGAGATGCTCTCGGTTGGTTTGAATGAAAAATGACCCCCAGAGGCTCAGGCATTTGAACACTTGGCCCTCAGTTGGTGGTACTGTTTGGATAGGTTTAGGAGAGGCAGCCTTCCTGGAGGAAGGGTACCACTGGCAACAGGCTCTGAGGGTGTAGAGAATCGCCTACTTCTAGTTCTGTCTCTGTACTTAGGGTTAAGATGTGATCTGTCGGTTTCCTGCTCCTGCCACCATGCCTGCTGCCTGCTGCCTGCTGCCACACCTCCTGGCAGTGGTGGACTCTTACCACTCTGGAACCATAAGCCCAAATAAACTCTTCCCTTAATATGTTACCTTGGTCATGGTATTTTATGATAGCAACACAAAGGTAATTAAGACAGTTACTCCTCCCCTCCTTCATTCATTCTGATATCCCTGCGCCCCCATACATAGGATGAGTCTTCCCTTCTTAGTTAAAATCTCTGGACTCTCCCTCAAAAAAAAACTCAAAGATATGTCTCCTGGTTGGTTTCAAATGCAGTCAAGGTGAAAATGAAGATTAACCCTTTGTCAATTTACTACCCAAACACATCGCCTTTAATCCATAGTCTTCAAAGGCTCATGGCCATCTCCCACTGCAAAATACATTTAGTTCAACTGTAAGGAACCCCCAAATCCTTAACATTCCCAGCATTGTGTGAAAGCTCAAAGTTTGAAGTCTTTTAAGACTCAAGGCAATCTCATAAATGGGAACCCGTATAGAAACATTAGGTGTGTCGAGCGGTGGTGGTGCACGCCTTTAATCCCAGCACTTGGGAGGCAGAGGCAGGCGGATCTCTGAGTTCGAGGCCAGGCTGGACCGATAGCCTCCAAAACAATACAGAGAAACACTGTTTTGTAAAACCAAAAAAAAAAAAAAAAAAAAAAAAAAAAAAAAAAAAAGAAAGAAACATTAGGTGCATACTTCAAAGCACAGTGGCACAGGACAGACCTTCCTGTTCCTAAACTTGAAATCCTTCAGGTCTGTGTCTGGCCTCTGGGGCTGGGTGAAGGCACCATTTATGTTCCAGTGGGCTTGGTGGTATGCTGTGTAGTTTTGTGTCAACTTGATACATGCTATAGTCACACAAAGGAGGGAACCTCAATTAAGAAAATGCCTCCACAAGATCATGCCTATATGGCGTTTTCTTAATTAGTGATTGATGCGGGAGAATCTAGTCCATTGTGGGTGGTGTCATCCCTGGGCTGGTGGTCCTGGCTTCTATAAGAAAGCAGGCCAAGCTAGTCATGGGGAGCAAGCCAGTAAGCAGCACCCCTCCATGGCCTCTGCATCAGCTCCTGCCTCCTGGATCTTTGGCTTCCTTCACTGATGGGCTATAATGTGGAAATGTAAGCCAAAGAAACCCTTTCCTCACTAACTTGTTCTTGGTGTTTCATCTCAGCAATAGAAACACCAATACACATAGCTGCAGACTTCAGCTCTTCTGTCTTTCACACTGTGACTTCCCTCTTAGATCAGCTTCCCTCTATGCCTGCAGCTTTCCTCAGGAAGCTATGTCTGGATACCTCCTATATCCCAGTGTTTCCATTATACCTTAGGACTTACCTCCATAGCTTCAGACAATGGTCTCTCAGGAGTCTAAGCTGGCCACACATTGCTTGTCCTTGGCCACTTGTTGGGAACCTTAATGCAAGCCCTTATGACCCTGTAATTCTTGAATTTTGCACAATTGCAAAGGTGGCACCCTGTGACTATGCTGCCAAGCTCCTTTGCCCATTTAAGCTGTGTTCTGGCACCTTCTACTGTAGTATTACTGACCTCTTTACACCTTGGTGACTGAACTTAGGAAACATTTCTCTGGGTGCTTGTTTTCAAGTAGGGACCCTGTTAGCAGTTTTTTTTTTTTTGTGTTTGTTTGTGTGTTTGTTTTTTAACAGTCTCTTTTCTTTCATATTGATGAGCATATTTTCCAGGTATGGTCCTGCTCCAGGGCACATGACTTAGTTGCTTTTTTTGTTGCTATGATAAACTACTCTGACAAGAGCACATTAAAAAAGGAACAGTTTTTTGGCTTGCAGTTTGAGGTTGCAGTCTGTCATGATGGGGAAATCACAGTGCCAGGAGCTTGAAGCTGCTTATAAACATCCAGTCACTGGGTGGTAGTGGTGCACACCTTTAATTCCAGCACTTGGGAGGCATTGGCAGGTGGATCTCTGTGAGTTTGAGGCCAGCCTTGTCCACATAGTGAGTTCCAGGACAGCTAGGACCATTACACAGAGAAACCCTGTCTCAAAAAAGCAAAAGCAACCCCCCCCCCCACACACGTCCATAGTAGGGAAAGGTTAATGCCTATGCTCAGCTCACTTTGCCTTGTTTTCACACAGTTCAGGATCCTGACCCAGAGAATGGTGTCACCTACAGTGGGTGGATCTTCCCACAATTAACCTAATGAAGATACCTCCCACCAAAGGATGCTCAGAAGCCCAGTCTGCCAGGTGAATCCAGAGCTCATCAAATAGACAACTGAGATTAGCCCACAGCAGCATTCCAGCCATTGCAGCTCCTTTCCTGGCACCTACGTTGTGTGCAGCTTTGAACTTGTTGCTGCTCCTTGTGCTGGATTAACTGAGAATGGCCTCTACAGGCTCGTGTGTTCGGATACGTGGTCTCCATTTGTTGGAACTATTTTGGGAGTGTTACAGGTGTGGTCTTGTTAGAGGACGTATATCACAGGGGACAGGTTTGAGGTTTCAAAAGACATGTGCCATCATTCCCAATGATTCCTTCTCTGTCTCCTACTTCTGACCAAGATGCACGATCTCAACTGCCCCTGCCTCTAACCCTCTGAAAGCATAGGCTTAGATTAAACCCATTCTCTTATAAATTGCTTTGGTCATTTTTTTAAATTTAAATTAAAAACAGGCTTGCTTCACATGTCAATCCCAGCTCCCTCTTCCTCCCCTCCTCCCCGCCCCTCCTCCAACTGCCCCCTCACCCCTACCCCATCCCCCCTCCACTCCAAAGTCTGTCATATCATCTGGGGCAGAGCCTAGGCCCTACCCAAGGTGTCCAGGCTGAGAGAGCATCGCATCCCTTCATGTGGAATGAGCTCACAAAATCCAATCGTATGCCAGGGATAAATACTGATCTACTACCCGAGGCTCCATAGATTGTTGAGGCCTCCTCACTGATACTCTCGTTCAGGGGGTCTGGATCAGTCTCATTCTGGTCTCTCAGTCATCATTCTGGGGTCCATGAGCTCCCCCTTGTTCAAGTCAGGTGTTTCTGTGGGTTTCACCAGCCCGGTCTTGACCCCTTTGCTTAACACTCCTCCCTCTCTGCAGCTGGGTTCCAGGAGTTCAGTTCAGTGTTTAGCTGTGGGTGTTTGCCTCTGCTTCCATCAATCACTGGATGAAGGCTCTAGGATGGCATATAAGGTAGTCATCAATCTCATTATTGGGGAAGGACATTTAAGATAACTTCTCCACTATTGCTTAGATTGCCAGTTGGTGTCATCCTTGTAGATCTCTGGAAATCTCCCTGGTGCCAGATCTCTCAGCAAACCTATAATGGTTCCCCCCCTCTATTGTGGTACCTCTCACCCTGCTCCCTCTATTCTTTCCCCACTCAACCTTCCTGCTCCCCCATGTCATCTTCTCCCCTCCTTGTCTCCCCCTCTCTTTCTCCCAGCTCCCTCTCCCCTCCCCCCATGCTTCCGATCTGCTCAGGAGATCCTGTCCCATTCCCCTTCTCTGGGGTACCATGCATATCTCTCTTAAGGTGCTCCCTGTTTCCCAGACTCTCTAGCAGTGGGATTGGGTCATGGTGTTTTATCAGGACAATAGAAAAGTAACCAAAATACTCCTTTTCTTGTCAAATTGTACTGCAACCCCCCCCCAACACACACACACTTCTGGCTCTTCTTGCTGCTATCTCATATAGGAAATGTGAATAAAAGCAGTGAAATGGGCTGGAGAAATGGCTCAGCAGTTAAGAGCTAGTCATTCTCTTTTAGAAGATCTGAGACCACCTACCATCACCCACAGCAGGCTGCTTCTAACAACCCCTAACTCTGCCTTTTGCCTTGATAGGCACCTGCGTTCAAATGCATATACCTGCATATACTCTCGCCCCACATACATATAATTAAAATAAAAATTTTAAGGCAGTGGGCCATAGCCATGTCATAGCCTGAGTCTTATGCTGCCTTGGAATTTCTTCTGTCAAACAAATTCATTCATTACCTTTTTATAATTTTTTTCATTTTTTAAAAATTATATCACTTCATTTCCTCTATTCCCTTTACTCCTCTAAGCCCTCCTATGTATTCTCTTGGTCTGTCTCTTAAATTCATAGCCTCTTTTTCTTTTGTTGTTACATGGATACAAATACATACTCCTAAATACATAAGCTTAACCTGCTTGCTCTGTATAATGTTAGGTGCGTGTATACAGTCTCAGGACTTACCACTTGAATTCAATCTCATTTGAGTCCTCAGGACACAGGCAGGATACAGTCATAATCCTTGCCAGAATGTCACGAATGGCCTCTAGTCCAGTTTCCAGTAAAATCTTTGTTACTCTCTGAAGCCTTATGAGCCAGAATTGCACTGTCTAAACTTTCTATTGGCATGCTGGCCTATTCTCCCACACTCCCCTCAACATATCCTATTCAGCTTTGCTTGCAACACTCTAGACAGTGGTTCTCAATCTTCCTAATGCTGTGACCCTTTAATACAATTCTTCATGTTGTGGTGACCCAAACCATAAAATTATTTTCATTGTTACTTCTTAGCTTTAATTTTGCTACTGTTATGAATTGCTATGTAAGCGTCTTACATGCAGAGTATCTGATATGTGAGCCCTGTGAAAGGATTATTTGACCCCCAAGGGGGTTGAGAACCACAGGTCCATATTCTTTTTTTTTTTTTTTTTTTTTTGGTTTTTCGAGGCAGGGTTTCTCTGTGGCTTTGGAGGCTGTCCTGGAACTCACTTGGTAGTCCAGGCTGGACTCGAACTCACAGAGATCCACCTGCCTCTGCCTCCCGAGTGCGTGCGCCACCAACGCCCGGCCATATTCTTATTTATAATTGCCTCTCACAAACCATTCAAAAAGACTTACAAACCGTATAGTCAGGAGGTCAGAGGCACAGCCCTGCTTCTGTAGGTCTTCTGTAGCTTTTGACTTTTATCATTGCTGAGATAAAATGCTTGACGGGAGCAAGCGAAGGGAAGGATTATTTTGGCACACAGTTTGAGACGTCAGAGTCCATCGTGGCAAGGAAGGTGTGGTTGTGGTGGTCATACCATGTCTGCAGGCAGTCAGCAGAGAGAGATGAACGCTGGTGCTCCGCTGGCTTCCTTCTTGCCCCTGTTACTTCGTTTAGGATCCAAGCCCCATAGAATGGTGCCTCCGTTATTCAAGGTTTGTCTTCCCCCCAGTTAAACTTCTTTGAAAACTCCCCTAAAGATATACTTGGAGATGTGTCTCCTTGATGATCCCTAGTCTCTTCAAGTTGACAGTGGTTATCTGTCTGTCTGTTTATCTATCTTGCATTATCCTGTATGGCTTACTTTCATCTTGCTGGTACACACACACACACACACACACACACACACACACACACACACAGCTGTAAGGCATTTTCTCAATTTCTCAATTAGTTGGCCATGGTGGGTGGTGCTGGTGGTTCTGGGTTCTTTTGATTTTTAAATTTTTTAATTTAAATTACAAACAAGCCTGCTTCATATGTCAATCCCCACTCTCTCTACCTCCCCTCCCCCCACCCTGCATCCCATCTTCCCTCTGCTCCCCAGGGAGGGTGAGACACTCCATGGGTGATCCCCAAAATCTGTCATATCATCTGGGGCAGAGCCCAGCCCTCCCCCCCCATGTGTCCAGGTTGAGAGCACATCCCTCCACGTGGAATGGGCTCCCAAAGTCCATTCATAGGCCAGGGATAAATACTGATCCAGTACCAGAGGCCCCATAGATTGCTAAGGCCTCCTAGAAAGCAGGCAGAGCAAGCCATGGGAAACAAGGCCCATTTGAGTTCCTGGCCTGACTTCCTTCAATAACAACAGCAATATGGAAGCAAAAGCCAAATAAACCCTTTCCTCCTTGACTTGCTTTTGGATAATGGTGTTTGGTCACAGCAATAGAAACTCTAACAAAGGCAGAAGTTGGTACCAGGGACTGGGGTATGACTGTGAAAGACCTGACCATGTTTTCATTTGCAGGAATTAGGACTTTGGTACTTTGGATTAGGAAAGCAGTGGGGTGCTTCAAATGCTACTCAATAGGCCATACCAACAGGAGTGTGGAAAACAGTGGTGCTAAGAACTATTTGAATGTTGGAGGCTGGCTCCAGAGTTTTCAGAGAAGTAGAGTTTTAGATTATTGCCTACAGATTGTTTTTGTGGTATTTTGGTGAAGAAAGTGGCTGCTTTTTGTCCTTGTCCAAAGAGTCTGCCTGAGGCTAAAGTGAAGAGTTTTGGATTAATTCCATTGGCAGAAGAAATCTCAAAATAGCCTAGTATAGACTCTGTTGTATGGTTATCAGTGGTAACTCTAATGAAGATTTACAATGAGAAGGAGCAAGCTGAGCAGGGTAAATTACAGAATATAAGATCTGAGGAGAAAAGGAGCACCGGGAAGTGGAATAGAGCCAAATCCTGTGTTCAAAGAGATAAAGAGATTAAGAAATGGAATAAAAATGGGACGATGGTGGTGCATATCTTTAGTCCCAGCACTCCAAAAGCAGAGGCTGGTGGATTTCTGAGTTTGTGGTCAAGTTGGTCTACAGAGCAAGTTCCAGGACAGTCAACCTTAGGCAATGAAGGAAACCATCAAAAACAGAAATCTGGTGAAGATGTAATTGAACAAGATGGCCACGTTCTAGTCCTTGGCAGCTTTGTTCATGTGGTTCTGGCTTTGGAGTTAAAACTAGAAGAAAGGGGTTATATAATTTGCCTCTGTGACTAAAGAAAGCTGCTGAGGCCAGGGGTGTCCCTGAATGAAGAACTAGAGAGACCATTTTGTGAAGCTGTGAAGTTGAGGCCTGGATTGCCTTGGAGACCCCAAGATGTTGGAGATGCTAAAGACATGGGGTACTGCCAAGGAAAGCTGCTAATGGGGAGTGGAACCAGCCCAAGAGAAAGAGTGTGTTGCAGTCAACAAAGCTGAAAGGAGTTGGAGATCTGAAGAGCATTTTGATATCAGACATGGGGATGCAGACTTTGGAGCTTGCCCAGCTGGTTTTCAGTTTTGCTTTGGTTCAGTATTTCCTCACTATGTTCCCTTCCCTATGTTTTGGAATGATAATGTGTGTCTTATGACATTATATGTTTGAAGTATGTGGTCTATTTTTTTCATTTTTGTTTTATAGAGAATTACAGTTAAGAGATTGCATGAGTCTCAGAAAATACTTTGAACTTTAGACATTTAAATAAGTTTGAGACTGTTATAGACCTTGGGGACTTTTGAAGTTCAACTGAATGCATTTTGCATTAAGATATGGCCTCTAACATTTGGGGGTCAGGGAGAGGAATGTGGTGGTTTGAAAGAAAATGGTCCCCAAGGGGAGTGGTACTATTAGGCTACTAGGGGGTGTGGCCTTGTTGGAGTAGGTGTGGTCCTGTTGGTGGAAGTATGTCACTGTGGAGGGCTTTGGGGTCTCATATATGCCTAAGCCATGCCCAGAGAGATAGTTCACTTCCTGTTGTTTGCTGATCAAGATGTAGGACTCTCAGCTCCAGCACCACATCTGCCCACATGCTGCCATGTCCACGGGGATGATAATGGACTAAAACCTCAGCAACTGTAAGCATTAAATGTTATCCTATAAGAGTTTCCATGGTCATAGTGTCTCTTCACAGCAATAGA